TCCTCCTGCCCCCATGCGCCTGCCTCTAGATCAGAGGCAGCGGCACAGGGCAGCAGGCAGAAGCTGGTGTGCGGGGGGAGCTAGCTTTTAAACTGGCTCCCCTCATGGACCAGCTCCTGCCTGCCACCGCTGCCTCTAATAATAGGTTATAAGGATGCTCGCCAGGAGTGGGGCTGGGAGCACGTGCTGGCTCCCAGTCCCGCTCCTGGGGACTATTGAATAGATTTTATGAGGTTACACGTCTATTCAACTGCATGCTATCTATCATCCCTACCGAGAGTCCACCTGTGACGTAGTGGGGGTACTTGCTGGGATGTGGTGACCCCTGCTGTCTGGAGCAAGACCCAGCAGGGAAAGCCTCACTAGGCAGAGGTAAGGCCAAACTTGTTGAACCAGTGGCCAGACACCCCCCATGGAGAGGAACAAAGGAAGGTGGAATGCTGCCCTGGCTTGGGGGGCAGGGCTGGACGAGGGTTAGTTAGTTCCTCGCTGGAAGGCAGGGTATAAGGAGCTGGGGAGGGGGCTGGGACTCCCCTATCTCAAAGGGGGGGGCACTGAGGCCTCTTAGCCCCAGTTCCTGTAACCAGATTACATCTGTGCTGCGCTGTGCTGGAGGAGCAATAAACCACCCTCAATCCCACTGGCTGGTGCAGTCTGTTTGTGCCATTTCGGGGTGAAGGAGACGGGGGACCCCCAACGCGCCGTCACACCACCACCCCTTTTTTTTTCCTCCACTCAAGCTCATCTGAAGAAGTGGGTTTTGCCCATGAAAGCTTTTTCGTTAGTCTCAGAGGGGTAATTGTGCTTGTCTGCAACTTTAAAAATGAGTAGTCCTGTAGCATCTTAGAGGCTCTCTGTGATATACAATTGTATATTGGAATTAATGCACAAAAAGCTAGAATGCCTGTGAACAGATACATCATCCACTTCCCAGCTAGACCTCCCCAACATTCTGTAAGGTCACAGCTCAGAACAGTGAGAAATTCTGACTGCATTTCTCCAGTGTTTTCACAAAGCCCCATGCAGGCTCAGAGCCTAAACTTACGAATTTTTATTAGTCCGGTACCACCATCATGTTTAATCTACTTCAAGGATTGTGAATAAAACTAACATCCTGTGATTTACTGACATTTGAAAATTACATTTCCCCAACAGATTAGGTGAAATAATAAACAAGGCATATTTTAATTCAAATACACATTTTAGCTCTATTGTTGGACTCTATCCCACCCCCCACTGTCTGATGAGCAGGGCAGGGTAGAATGATTTAAATTAAAGCAATTTAAATCTTGTTCCTAGCTGTAAGTCACTAATAGGCAGCAAATGAAGATACCTCCTCCTGCACAAACCCATTATCTAGTTTAAAAAAAAAGTATGTTTGATGAACTACTGAGAGGCACAGATTTCACATCTCTAATTGCATTTTACTGTTCAATAATAATAAGGAAATCATAGAACACTAGAACTGGAAGGGACCTCTGAGGTCATTGAGTCTAATCCCCTGCCCTGACGGCAGGACCAAGCACCTACAAGATGAGTGGTTTCCAACCTTTTCACACCCAAGATCACTTTTTAAATCTCAGAACAGGTGAAGATCCTTGAAGCCCCGCCCCTTCCTTGAAGCCCTGCCCTCGCTATCCTCCTCCTGTTCATCACTTGCTATCCCCAGCCCTTACTTACACACTCTGATAAACAGTTTATTTTTAAATTATGCAATATATAAAATTAAAATCACAAGTTTATAGTTATGAAATAAATGGTCTGTTTTTTATTCATGCTATTTAAACCTAAAAAGAAACATTTATAATTATACATTTTGTTGGGACAGAGTTCTGCGGCTGGGGGCAAGGGAGAGGGAACAGGGGGCTGGGAGGCAGAGGACAGGGTTCAGCGCAGGGGACAGAGTGCCAGTGGGGACAGATTTCTGCAGCTGTGGACAGGGTGCCAGTGGAGACAGAGTTCGGGGAGTGGGGACGGGAATAGGGACAGAGTTCTGTGGCTGGGGACACAGAAGTGGGGACAGCATTCGGGGAGTGGGGAAAGGTGTGGGGACAGTGTTCTGTAGCTGGGGACAGGGGAGTGGGGACTGCGTTCGGAGAGTGGAGTGACAGTGGAGGCAGAGAGTCCCCTGCATCTGCCTTCTCCCAGGATTCCCCCCCCCCCCAAGGGAAATTGGCGCATACCTGCCCCAGGGCCCATCCCCCCCCCCACGGTGCAGGGAAGCCCCACGCACACCTGCCCCAAGGCCGACCCCCCACCCCCGCGCAGGGAAGCCCCGCGCGCACCTGCCCCAGGGGGCCAACCTCCCCCCCGGCGCAGGGAAGCCCTGCATGCACCTGCCCTGGGGCTGACGCCCCCCCGCGCACACCAGGAAACCCGCGCCCGCCTCCCCCAGGGCTGACTCACCCCTCCTATGCAGTGCAGAGAGCTGATGCTCCTTCCCGCAGTACACCCGGCAGAGCAGCTAGCGCACTTCCGGAATCACCGACATGTTTTGACTTCTCATGTTTTGTTCACTACACTCTTGTTAATGCATCCCAGAATCACATTTGCTTTTTTTGCAACAGCATCACACTGTTGACTCATACTAAGCTTCTGGTCCACTATAACCCCTAGATCCCTTTCTACCCTCCTCCTTTCTAGACAGTCACTTCCCATTCTGTAGGTGTGAAATTGATTATTCCTTCCCAAAGTGGAGTATTTTGCATTTGTCCTTACCGAACTTCATCCTATTTATCTGAGACAATTTCTCTAGTTCGTCCAGATCATTTTGAATTATGACCCTATCCGCCAAAGCACCCGCAACCTCTCCCAGCTTGGTATCATCTGCAAACTTGCTAAGCACACTATGTATGCCAACACTTACATTGTTGATGAAGATACTGAAGAGAACCAGTCCCACAACAGTCTTGTGGCACTTTCCAAACATATTTATTTGGGGCATAAATGTTGCGGGGCAAAGAACCACTTGGGCAGTGCTTTTGCTTAAGTGCCATGAATAGGGGGGACGCCTGCACTTCCCTTGGGAGGCCCTGAGCTGTTTCCCAGACCTACCAGAAACCGCTCAACTCCAGGGTGGGCAGCTGCCCCCGCGCTCTGCCCACCCCACATTAGCAAAAGTCCAAACATATTTATTTGGGGCATAAATGTTGCGGGGCAAAGAACCACTTGGGCAGTGCTTTTGCTTAAGTGCCATGAATAGGGGGGACGCCTGCACTTCCCTTGGGAGGCCCTGAGCTGTTTCCCAGACCTACCAGAAACCGCTCAACTCCAGGGTGGGCAGCTGCCCCCGCGCTCTGCCCACCCCACATTAGCAAAAGA